ATAAAGAGCTCACACACCTCAACAAACCAAAAGCAAATAATCCAATTAAAAAATGGGCAGAGGAGCTGAACAGACACTTCTCCAAAGAAATTCAGATGGCCAACAGACACACGAAAAGATGCTCCATATTGCTAGTCATCAGAGAAATGCAAATTAAAACCACAATGAGGTATCACCTCACACCAGTAAGGATCGCCACCATCCAAAAAACAAACAACAACAAATGTTGGCGAGGTTGTGGAGAAAGGGGAACCCTCCTACACTGCTGGTGGGAATGTAAATTGGTTCAACCATTGTGGAAAGCTATATGGAGGTTCCTCAAAAAGCTCAAAACAGAAATACCATTTGAGCCAGGAATTCCACTTCTAAGAATTTTCCCTAAGAATGCAGCAGCCCAGTTTGAAAAAGACAGATGCACCCCTATGTTTATTGCACCACTATGTACAATAGCCAAGATATGGAAGCAACCTTAGTGTCCATCAGTAGATGAATGGATAAAGAAGATGTGGTACATATACACAATGGAATATTATTCAGCCATAAGAAGAAAACAATCCTACCATTTGCAACAACATGGATGAAGCTAGAGGGTATTATGCTCAGTGAAATAAGCCAGACGGAGAAAGACAAGTACCAAATGATTTCACTTATATGTGGAGTATAAGAACAAAGAAAAAACTGAAGGAACAAAACAGCAGCAGAATCACAGAACCCAAGAATGAACTAACAGTTACCAAAGGGAAACGGACTGAGGAGGATGGGTAGGAAGGGAGGCATAAGGGGAGGGAAAAAGAAAGGGGGCATTACGATTAGCATGTATAATGGGGGGAGGGCTGTGCAACACAGAGAAGACAAGTAGTGACTCTACAGCATCTTACTACGCTGACGGACAGTGACTGTAATGAGGTTTGTGGGGGGGATTGGTGAAGAGGGGAGCCTAGTAAACATAATGTTCCTCATGTAATTGTACATTAATGATACCAAAAAAAAAAAAACCAAGTATGACCAATTTCACTTCTGTAATTATTTTCACACATCACCTCCTCAGAGTCCCTACTGTAGCTACTCTATATCAGACCCATCTACTGAGTACATTTCATAAATCTGTTCACTCATCACTGTTAAGGTAATCTTTATGAAGCACAATTTTGATTCTATTACACACACAAACACACACTCTCTCTTACTCAAAATCTTCAAAGGCTCTAAAATAAATTTTATCTTCAAAGCTAAGTATACACTCCATCCACCTTCTGGGCCCAAGATCCTTGCAGAACCTACCTCCTCCTACTTATCTTCAACCCTCCATGAAGCTTACGTATATATGTAGGCAAACTGGGCTCTTGACTTATTTCTCTTAACTCCCTGCTCTTTCCCATCTCTGAATTCATTATTTCCTGAACAAACTTACAGTACAGTCCATGCAGAGCAGAGAGGCATGGGGGGAGAGGGGCCGAGGGGGGATGGCAGGGGAGGGTTGAAAGGGACTTTCTTTCAAAGGGTTTTGAAGGTTGTGCTAGAGTCTGACTTCATCTTGGAAGCAGGAAGAACCAATGGAGATGAAAGCAGGGGAATGACATGATCTTTATTTCAGAAGTGCCAGTCTGGCTGCAGTGTGAGAAATCTATCAGAGAAAGATAAACCAAGTTGAGACAGGTATTGCAGTCTGCACAATAAAAAATTAGGGCCTAAATTAAGTCAGAGGGACCAGGGATGGAGTCACAGTACTGGATCTTAATGGCTGTAGGCACTAAGAGAAGAGAATGAATCAAATAAATATCACTTTCAGGCTTCTCGTCTGGGTGGCTAGATGCGCAGCAATGCCTTTAGAGAGATTTAAAAGTCCTTTACAGGAATTTTCTGTAGTAATGGAAATATTCTTTATCTCTATCCAGGTTATGGGTTCACAGTTTATGTATTTGCTAAATTTCATCAAACTCTACCCTTATGCTTTGTTCATTTCCTTGAATATTAACTATACTTTAATAAACTACTATTACTTAATTTTACTATTCATATCCTAGATATAAAGCGTCTTTCAGTCAGTAGGCACTATTAAACACATAGCAAACACTCACTAAGATAAAACTCCAAGGTCCCAGACAACGTAACAATCTAAAGTTTCGAAGACGTATCATAGTTCTAATAAGATCGCCCAGCCCATAATTTTAAAAGGAGAGAAAGTACATAACAATGAAATCTATTTGCGGAATAAATATCCATGCAACGAGTATTTACTGTAGCCCACTAAAAGCCTAGTCATGTACAGTATTGTAGGTAATGTGAAAATGTTCACACGCTCCTTTACACACACACAAAGAACTGAAATAGAGGGCTATGGGCGCCGAGGAAATGTTGCAGATGCGAAGCGTGATTCAACCGCGATCACCACTGACTGAGGGCTCGGGGTAGGCTCCGCGGAAATTGCGGGACGTGGTGCCCAATCACTGACGTCCTAAAGGGGTGCTCCGTTGGAGGAACTCGAACCCGCCGAGGTGGCGCAGGGGAACCCAGTGCCCGTGGCAGGCCCAAGCACAGCCGCTCCCCCAGCCGAAGTCGCCCAGCCCCTCCAGTGGTCGCGGGCAGCGCCGGCCGCACGTGGGCCGCGCCGAGCCAGGCATGGCCCCGCGGCCGCCTCAACTCCCGCCTCTTCCCCCACTCCAGGAAGCCGCCCGCTTCCCTCACCGTGACTCCCGGCCCATGTTGCCAGCCTCGAGAAAGCAGCGCCCTCCGAGACGACGCGCAGGAGATCCGGACAAAAGAGAAAGCCGCACTGCCCTCGGCCCGCCGAACGCGGTACAGCCTCAAAGGGCAGCAGCAGATATACCGAGAGCAGCCATCCGAAAGCGGCCAACGAAAACAGGACGTACTGGAGCCAAGGCAGAAGGAAGGGAAAAGCGAACCGGAAGCTGCTGTCTCTCCACAGCGCCCCCTCGCGGCTGGAGGCCGCACAGCGCCGGTCACACCGAAAAATGCCTGCTGCGTTTTCCCTGGACCCCCGCAGAAACCTCAGCATGGGTGTGTGGGAGAGGGAGGTGCCCAGCCCTGAGGGCCCTGGGAGGGCCGTGCCTGCAAGGGCCACCGAGGAGCCGTGTACATCCCCTCGCTGTCCCAAACCGTGTACTGGCGTCGGCCTTAACCTGCGCTAAGTGAAGCCACCAACATCTACATTCACTCGCTCACTCACAAGGATGTATGTATATACTGGTGTCAGGCAGATGCTAGATCCCGGTTGCTTACAATCTAGGGGGGCATATAGGCATTACTAAAGACATAAGAAATTCCAACAAAGAGGAGGGGTTCAGAAAGAGTTCCCTAAGAAAGTGAACTTTGAGGTGAGATTTGAGGATTGAGTAGGAGTTAAGCTAATGAAGAGCTAAAAATACATTTGTAAGATTGTAACAGTTCTCAACATGGCCTGTGCTTGGAAGTTTAAAAACAAACAAAAACCCAAAAAACAAAATGCATGTATTCCATCCAGATATCCTCATGAAATTGTCTGGAGTGCTTCCTGTATATTGGAAATTTTCAATCTTCTCTGGTGATTCCAAAGTGCAGCCAAGGTTGAGAAGCACTCACCGAGTGGAACACCAAAATGTCAGTTGTTTCAGCAGAAAGCTGTAATGTTAGTTAGGGAGAGTATCTAGTATTTACTTTACATGCCTCTGTCCTGTTTTACATCTAAGGATGATAGGTAAGTTCTGTATCTTTAATTGTGGTCATTGTCTGTTTTGTCAAGTTTTGTCAAACTGTACACTTTAAACTGATCCATTTTACTGTATGTAAACTTTACCTCAACAAACCTGACTTTTAAAAAATGAGTTGAGCCGGCCAAGAAGCCCCTTCTGAGAGGGGGCAGGGGGGAGCGGGAGTGAGGAGAGAGCCTTCGGTGGGGTCCGCCCGCAGTGGTCTGCGTAAGCGGGGCGGCGCCGCCGGGCGGCTACGCCGCGGAATCGGCGTAGGCGGCCTTGGAGAGTCGGCGGGCTGCGCGGCGCCCGGGCTGGTAGTGGAGGGGAGGGGATGTCGGTCAGTTAGAGATGCGCTGCTGCTCAGGAGAGGAGCGTCAACAGCAGCACCATGGCTCATGTGGGATTTTGCAAATCTCCCAGATCAAGTATAGAGAAAATCAGTGAAGAGGCGGTTTGAATTCACACTTATGGTTGTGGGTGAATCTGGACTGGGAAGGTCAACATTAATCAACTCATTATTCCTCACAGATTTGTATTCTCCAGAGTATCCAGGTCCTTCTCATAGAATAAAAAAGACTGTATAGGTGGAATAATCCAAAGTTTTAATCAGAGAAGGTGGTGTTCAGTTGCTGCTCACAATAGTTTATACCCTAGGATTTGGAGATGCAGTGGATAATAGTAATTGCTGGCAGCCTGTTATTGACTCATTGATAGTAAATTGGAGGACTACCTAAATGCAGAATCTCGGGTGAACAGACGGCAGATGCCTGATAACAGGGTGCAGTGTTGTTTATACTTCATTGCTCCTTCAGGACATGAACTTAAATCATAGGATGTTGAGTTTGAAGCGTTTGCATGAAAAAGTGAATATCATTTCACTTATTGCCAAAGCAGACACACTCACACGAGAGGAATGCCAACAGTTTAAAAAACAGATAAGGAAAGAAATCCAAGAACATAAAATTAAAATATATGAGTTTCCAGAGTCAGATGAAGAAGAAAATAAGCTTGTTAAAAAGATAAAAGACCGTTTACCTCTTGCTGTGGTAGGTAGTAATACTATCATTGAATTTAATGGCGAAAGGATGAGAGGAAGACAATGTCCTTGGGGTGCTGCTGAAATTGAAAATGGTGAACATTGTGATTTTACAAGTCTAAGAAATATGTTGATAAGAACACACACGCAGGACTTGAAAGATGTCACTAATAATGTACACTATGAAAACTACTGGAGCAGAAAACTGGCAGCTATGACTTATAATGGAGTTGATAATGACAAGAATAAAGGGCAGCTTACTAAGAGCCCTCTTGCACAAATGGAAGAAGAAAAAAGGGCACACGTAGCTAAGATGAAGAAAATGGAGATGGAGATGGAGCAGGTGTTTGAGATGATGGTCAAAGAAAAAATTCAAGAACTGGACTCTGAACCTGAGCTCCAAAGGCACCATGAGCAAATGAAAAAGAATCTGGAAGCCCAGCACAAAGAATTAGAGGAAAAATGTCATCAGTTTGAAGATGAGAAAGCAAACCTGGGAAGCCCAACAACGTATTTTAGAACAACAGAACTAACTCTTCAAGGACCTTGGAAAAGAACAGAAGGGGAAGATCTTTTAAATCCTCAATTGACCACCACTTACGTATTAGTGGCCAGTATGCCAGCTTGGACATCTGTGTTTGTTGGATCCGTTTGACCAATTTGCACCAGTTTAATCCTTAATGATGGATTTAACAGCATGACAAAATATTACGTATTAGTGGCCAGTATGCCAGCTTGGACATCTGTGTTTGTTGGATCCGTTTGACCAATTTGCACCAGTTTAATCCTTAATGATGGATTTAACAGCATGACAAAATTATTTTTTGTTGTTGATGGAGATTAAGATGCCTTGAATTGTCTAGGGTGTTGTGTACTTAGAAACTAACAGCTCTAAGTACCTTTCCTACATTCTCTTTTCTTTTTTATTAAACAGATGTCTTCAATTTAATGCAAGAAAATATTTTACTGTTGTACAATCATGTTCTGATGGTTTGATTCTTTACAGGATATTCCTCTGGAAGGTTTTCACTGAGGATAAATTGCCATAATATGATGCAAAGTATGGTTCTCTATAATAAATAAAATACAAAGGTTCTATTCAATGCAGCGTATACAATAATGTAATTTAGTCTAAAACAGTTGACTGTTTTTTGACACTTCCATTGTTTAAAAATACACATGGAAAAAAAACCCTGTATGCTTACAATGCACCTAGAGCTTTTTTTATAACAACCTTTTGTTTGTGTGTTTGTTTTGGATTATTTAAATATATATTCTCATTTAGTACCCTCTTTAGTCAGAATCTCATTTCTGCTTCATTTCTGTAATAGCATTTAATTTAGGTATTTTCCATATATTGGTCCTGCTAAAATAGAATATAGCATCTTTCATATGTTAGGAAACCAAAAAGAAAACCTTCCTTTAATTCCCTTTTTACATTTCATGGTAAGTAGCAGGGGGGGAATGCATTTGTAGTTCATTTCTAGGCAAAATTGCAAAGCTAACAACCAACCTATTTCTACCTATGTGCAGTCTATTTTACTAGAACTGGAATTCATGACCTCTTGAAAAGGAAAAAAAAGTTACCATTCTGCATTTAGCTGTATTCATATACATTTTTTTGTTTGTATTGTAGAAAATCCACATAATAAACAATGCTGTGATGTAAAAAAAAAAAAAAGTTGGTTCCAAGCCTCCATTCTTCCTTTGTGACTTACTTCCCACTTGTGACAGTAGTGCAGTGTCTGCAGGGTAAGGAAGACCTGAGCTAGTTAGTATGTGACAGAATGGACATTAGTGAGTCAGCTATCAGAACCATCATCAAATGCTTGTATATGGGCTGAGAGTACGGGTTTCAGTCTAACAGGAAACACTAGTTACTTAAACAGTGGAGATGCTGAGAAATGGTCAGATTATGGATGTATTCCGGAGGCAGCTCCCATAACACTGATAAGGTGGATGTGAACCGTAAAGGAAAGGAGGAATTAAAATGACTACCCAGATTTGAACAGAGCTACGGTGCATTGTAGTGAATTTGTTTAGATGAGAAAGGTATGGGAGCAGCATATTTGGGGAGGGGCTTGCGAGAGGGAAAACCAACGGTTCTGTTTTAGTAATGTGATGTTTGAGAGGCCTACTAGACATACAGATGATGATTACATAAGCAGACACATGTGTCTGGAGTTCAAGGGAGAAACAGGTTGGAGAAATAAGGGTCATAAGCATTGTATAGGATGTGTAATAATACATGGTATTTGAAGCTGTGGAACTAGATGAAGCCATGCTGTCACAGCTGGAATAAATTTTTAAAATCACATACCTCGAATTTTTTTCTTTTATTCACTAATCAAATTTTTTTTATTTTTTATTTTTTTGGTATCATTAATCTACAATTACATGAAGAACATTGTTTACTAGGCTCCCCCCTTAACCAAGTCCCCCCCACAAACCCCATTAGAGTAACTGTCCATCTAATCAAATTTAAGAGAGAGAATCAAGACATGGGAAGCAAATTGAATCCTAGATCATTAATCTTTTTGGAATATAAGCTGGAACCAGAACCCAGGTATCTGGTACCCAAGCATTTTTTTAGAGGCATTCTCGTTTTATTATGCTTCACTTTATTTTGCTTTGCAGATACTGTGTTTTTACACATTGAAGGTTTGTGGTGACCCTGTCGTGAGCAAGTCTATCAGTGCCATTTTCCCAACAGTATTTGTTCACTTTGTATCTCCGTGTCACATTTTGGTAATTCCCACATTTCAAACTTTCGTCATATTTGTTACACTCGTCTGTGATGTGATTACAACTCACTGAAAACTCAGATGATGGTTGGCATTTTTTAGCAATATTTATTAAGTATGTACATTTTTTTATATCGTTAATGTAAAATTATTTGAAGATTATGGTTACTAGACTCCCCCTATTATGAAGTCCCCTCCACATACCCCATTACAGTCACTATGAGCGTACTAAGATGCTATAGAATCACTTCTCTTCTCTGTATACGCTGCCTTTCCCCGTGTCCCTTCCCACTCCCTCACCGCTACATTATGTATGCTAATCATAATGCCCCTTTTTCCCCCCTTATCCGTCCCTTCCCACCCATCATCCAAGTTGGTTCCAAGCCTCCATTCTTCCTTTGTGACTTACTTCCCACTTGTGACAGTAGTGCAGTGTCTGCAGGGTAAGGAAGACCTGAGCTAGTTAGTATGTGACAGAATGGACATTAGTGAGTCAGCTATCAGAACCATCATCAAATGCTTGTATATGGGCTGAGAGTACGGGTTTCAGTCTAACAGGAAACACTAGTTACTTAAACAGTGGAGATGCTGAGAAATGGTCAGATTATGGATGTATTCCGGAGGCAGCTCCCATAACACTGATAAGGTGGATGTGAACCGTAAAGGAAAGGAGGAATTAAAATGACTACCCAGATTTGAACAGAGCTACGGTGCATTGTAGTGAATTTGTTTAGATGAGAAAGGTATGGGAGCAGCATATTTGGGGAGGGGCTTGCGAGAGGGAAAACCAACGGTTCTGTTTTAGTAATGTGATGTTTGAGAGGCCTACTAGACATACAGATGATGATTACATAAGCAGACACATGTGTCTGGAGTTCAAGGGAGAAACAGGTTGGAGAAATAAGGGTCATAAGCATTGTATAGGATGTGTAATAATACATGGTATTTGAAGCTGTGGAACTAGATGAAGCCATGCTGTCACAGCTGGAATAAATTTTTAAAATCACATACCTCGAATTTTTTTCTTTTATTCACTAATCAAATTTTTTTTATTTTTTATTTTTTTGGTATCATTAATCTACAATTACATGAAGAACATTGTTTACTAGGCTCCCCCCTTAACCAAGTCCCCCCCACAAACCCCATTAGAGTAACTGTCCATCTAATCAAATTTAAGAGAGAGAATCAAGACATGGGAAGCAAATTGAATCCTAGATCATTAATCTTTTTGGAATATAAGCTGGAACCAGAACCCAGGTATCTGGTACCCAAGCATTTTTTTAGAGGCATTCTCGTTTTATTATGCTTCACTTTATTTTGCTTTGCAGATACTGTGTTTTTACACATTGAAGGTTTGTGGTGACCCTGTCGTGAGCAAGTCTATCAGTGCCATTTTCCCAACAGTATTTGTTCACTTTGTATCTCCGTGTCACATTTTGGTAATTCCCACATTTCAAACTTTCGTCATATTTGTTACACTCGTCTGTGATGTGATTACAACTCACTGAAAACTCAGATGATGGTTGGCATTTTTTAGCAATATTTATTAAGTATGTACATTTTTTTATATCGTTAATGTAAAATTATTTGAAGATTATGGTTACTAGACTCCCCCTATTATGAAGTCCCCTCCACATACCCCATTACAGTCACTATGAGCGTACTAAGATGCTATAGAATCACTTCTCTTCTCTGTATACGCTGCCTTTCCCCGTGTCCCTTCCCACTCCCTCACCGCTACATTATGTATGCTAATCATAATGCCCCTTTTTCCCCCCTTATCCGTCCCTTCCCACCCATCATCCTCATTCCCTTTACCTTTGGTAACTGTTAGTCCATTCTTGGGTTTTGTGTCTGCTGCTGTTTCGTTCCTTCAGTTTTTTCTTTGTTCTTATACTCCACAGATGAGTGAAATCATTTGGTACTTGCCTTTCTCCACCTGGCTTATTTCACTGAGCAAAATACCCTCTAGCTCCATCCAAACAAATGGTAGGATTTGTTTTCTTAAGGCTGAATATTTCATTGTGTATATATGCCACATCTTCTTTATCCATTCATCTACTGATAGACACTTAGGTTGCTTCCATTTCTTGGTTATTGTAAATAGTGCTGCAATAAACATAGGGGTGCATGTGTTTTTCAAACTGGGCTCCTGCATTCTCAGGGTAAATTCCTAGGAGTGTTTTTCCTGGGTCAAATTGTATTTGAGTTTTTTGAGGAACCTCCATACTGCTTTCCACAATGGTTGAACTAGTTTACATTCCCACCAGCAGTGTGTGAGGGTTCCTCTTTTTCCACATCCTCGCCAACATTTGTAGTTGTTTTTTGGATGTAGGCCATCCTAACTGGTGTGAGGTGGTATCTCATTGTGGTTTTAATTTGCATTTCTCTGATGATTAGTAATGTGGAGCATCTTTTAATGTGCCTGTTGGCCATCTGAATTTCTTCTTTGGACAAGGGTCTGTTCACTTCCTCTGCCCATTTTTTAATTGGATTATTTGCTTTGTTTGTTGAGGTGTGTGAGCTCTTTATATAATTTGGATGTCAACCCCTTATCGGATCTGTCATTTATGAATATATTCTCCCATACTGTAGGATGTCTTTTTGTTCTACTGGTGTCCTTTCCTGTACAGCTTTTTAGTTTGATATAATCCCACTTGTTCATTTTTGCTTTTGTTTCCCTTGCCTGGGGAGAGATGTTCATGAAGAAGTTGCTCATGATTATGTACAAGAGATTTTTGCCTATATTTTTTTCTAAGAGTTTTATGGTTTCATAAATATACATTGTTTCTTTAGACATGCTATTACACTTACTAGATTACAGTGTAGTGCAAATAACTTTTATATGCACTGAGAAACCAAACAATTCGTCTCACTTTGTGGTGCTCGTTTTATTGTGGTGGTCTGGAAACAAACCTGCAGTATCTCTGAGGTATGCCTGTACTTCATTCCCAACGCCTTTAAGAGAACATACATGACAATTCTGTCTGGCATAAATGCTTATGTTTACAATATACTATGGATAAGTTCATAGCACATCTATATCCTAGCAGCAGCTGCATTATCCATTAGCACAGGTGAAAGTAATTATAATCCACTGTATCTCAAATACATCACTTGTAACAAACTGCCTGGCATCCAAAGCAGATTTTGATTCTAATTAACTCAGTTCTGAGTATCTCCTACCCCTCTTGATTTTTTTAATACCAATTATGATGCACACATGTCGATTTATACAACTATCAAGACTAAAAAGCTACAGGTCAAAAAAATGTCACTTACCAATCTAGGTTTAACCCATATACCTTTCAAGTCCCTGAAATTTCTAAATTGAAAAATCTTTTTACTATCCCAACACTAAGAAACTTCCATTTCCAGCTGGTATTATGCAACACATCTAAGCAAATGATCAGCTGAAGTAGAAAAGTAGCATCTATATGTTACAGATAATCTCTTTGCTCTTTGAAGTTTATATAACAATGATCTACAATTACTAAAACTGTGAAGTGACTAAATGGGGCCTTTATTTTTAAAAAACAAAAAAAGTAAATAAGAGTAATTGAGGACCACTAGTGTCTTCCCAGGAACTGGGGAGAGTTGACAAATCCAAGGATGCTTCCCAATCTTAAAGAAATCTTACAGAAAAGCAACAGGAAAAATGTGTGCTTGCAATCTTATCCTAAGCCAGAGGCCCAGACTTTACTATTACGCTTACTCTCCATTATTTTGGTTCAAAATAAAATGACAATAATCAAGACCTGGTGAGTAAAGTTAAAAAGTATGTTATGTTTTTAATATCACAAGGATTAAGCAAATAGACCATACAAAAATCTGTAAGGAAATGTAATTCCAAGCAATATAACACTCATGTTTTATACTCAAGAAGACAAACCTTCCAAATATGGTAGTATTATCTAGTTAAAAGGGTATTAATGCTTTTAGGTTGCATACGTCAATTTTTCAAATTACATTTTTATATCTAATCATTCTACTCCAGTTTGCTTAAAAAGATACTTTGGAAAATTGAAAATTAAAAAATGAAAATTTCCAATTCTGAGTTTGGTAATGAAAATTTTCCTAAGTTAAAATAAAGATTTCATGAATATTAATTTCACAAGTATGAATATTAATCATTTCTTCCATTAAATATCTGTGCTGGAGTAAAAATAAAGATACTCAATGAGATTAATTTGGCTACTTTATTCAGCCCTTATGAGGTAAATGTGCAGACTTAACATTAGACAATTCAGTTTCTTTCATTTTATTTTTAAAATGGCTCCACTTCTCAGGACAGACCACCACAAACACAAGACGCAATCCTTGGGCCTGACTGGGACCATGTTCACCTGCTCTCCTAAACGCACTAGCTTAGCCTCAAAAAAGGAAATTACAAATCTGAGAAGTTAGGGAAAGGTGTAAACTAGGAATTCTAATTAAACAAGAAAAATCAATTGACACTGATGCTCTATTCTTCACTATCAGTATTAATACAAACTCAACCCTTTTAAATCAGGGAACCTGCCGGGTGGGGAGGGAGAAGGGGATTGAGGGGTATTATGATTGGCACACATGGTGTGGGAGGGATCATGAGGAAGACAGTGTAGCACAGAGAAGGCAAATAGTGACTCTGGGGCATCTTACTACACTGATGGACAGGGACTGCAATGGGATGGGAGGGGGCCTTCAATAACTTAAAAAAAAAGATGTTGCAGGAAAACATTCCCTCATCTGCTACTGGATATTGCCATAGCTGTGTTGTACTCCCGAAATTGTGGAACTGTGAGGAGTCTTCACTAAAGAGGATGTACTGGGCATGGAAGAGCAGAAAATGGAAGAAACCTATTTCTTAATAGCATTGTTGAGCCATTAAATTAATCCTGTAACCCATCTAGAAACTACTCCAGATAATATTTAACAAATCACCTTACTGAGTGTGCAGAGTGAGTTGAGTTTTGGGGTACTGTCAGGCCAAAATATCCTAATGAAATCTACATAAGGAAAACAACTGGGTTTCTAACGACCTTACAGGACAGAGACCTACCTGCCATGACTGCCTGCCAAATTCTGCGCTGCATCATGAGAGAGAAATAAACTTCCAACTTGTTTGAAAAAAATAAATAAATCGGGGAATCTGCCATTCCACTTTAAGTGGTTTTGCAGAAGAATTACATAAAGGTGTAAACAATTTGCTTACTTTAGAGACACTGAGTGTAGAAGAAAAATTGTTTGTGAGCTTCTGCCTTCTGAATTCTGCAGGCTTCATGGTACTTCAGAACCCCAATAATCAAGCAATTCATGACAAAAGATAAAAGTGAAAAAGTAGACACAGAGATCTGTGAAAACTTCGCCCATTTTGCTATAGGTATCCATTGAACGATTTATCACTTCAGCAGGAATCCCAGATAACAGAAGTGCAGCTGTTAGGACTGTTGTCTTAATCTTCTTTTCACCCTGTACAAAGATAGATTTATAAATCTGTAATTTATAAATTTGTAAATCTTACAGCTTTCCGAAGACTACTTAAGCTCTATAAAAACATTGCCAGTGCTGCGATTTTCACTTTATTTCAAAACTGTTACTAAAATTTCAAAACATCAATCAATAATGTATCAACACATATTTACTGAGCATATTAATATGTAAAGCAGTAAACTACTGGGTGGTAGGGAAGACCATTCTTGCTATCAAAAATTTAAAAAACAGTCTTATTTGGGGGGGCAAAACATAAATAACAATTTAGCATATACACAACAGCACAAGGTGAAAACAGGAAAAACATAGACATGACATAATTGCTAAGATATATAACATGGATAACGTGTGGTATAGTGTCTCAAACAAGACAGAAATTACTCCAGGGTTTTATGAATAAAGCACAGGAAGGATTTCAGGAGCAAGTGGAATTAAAAACAGGCCTTCAATCACCATGTGATTGATCAAGAGGACCCTTGAACCACTGTGATGTACATATGAAACCAACATAAGATTGCCTACTAACAACACTAAGAAAAAGGCCTTCAAGAATGAGCAATTGTACAGGCACACACCTGATCATCTACATTTGCTCTCTTACAACACTAAACTATGTTTTTCTACCTTTACCTTGCATCTACCTACCACTTCAGCATTTTATTAAAAATAATAATAATAATAATAATAAGGGAGAAATGTGGGATTCACATATAAATCAAGTATAAAAATCAAACGAATACTCATATTTGACCTGATTGTTTATAGTTCATAATGCGTGATCAAAACCGAAAGTTTCTGTGATGACTGCCCTTGTACTGTTCAC